CGGATTCGGGGTCCGCGGTTCGGTTCGGTGCGTCGTCTTAGGATCCGCTGTTGTGCGATCCACCGGGGGTGCGGATACGTAGCGGCTCTTTTCGAAAAAGAACTGCTGGGAGTGCCTCCTTTTTGGGGGTGGTTGGCGAGATGGAACGATCTTTTTGTTGTTTTTTGGGGGGGGCGAAAAAGAAGGGGGCAAAGCGGGCTTTCAATGGTGTTTGGGGAGGATTGGAACTGATTGATTCTGGATTGGAGTCTTTATGGATGACTTATATACAGCCTTTCAATTGATGCTGACACATACTGGTCGGAGTGGCTTCTCACTTTGACCAGAGACGAACTCAGCTCATTGATCGTATTGCAACAAAGCGGAATCACACCGCCATTCTGGACATGTCAGGATCGCCACCCTTTCCAAGAAAGAAAGAACATCGGCACCCACGTTCACCAGAAAGAACATCTTCCAGAATGACCAGTTGGACATGTTGAGACCAGCATGACCAGCATGACCCTGAACCGTCCCCACGATGTCGGTCGACCGGTCAGGACCTCCGTGGCGACTGAGCTCTTGGAGATGGGAGGGCCTCTTGGTGCGGCCAAGCATCGCGGGTGGGTCCCCACAGAGTGACACCATGAGAAAGAGATGGCACATCTGGCTGCACCAGGAGTTGCTTAGGCTGAAATGAAAGAACTTGGGTGGAGCAAGCTAGCAAGCTCAAGATACATCCAAATACATCCTCGTTGCGGCTTGGGACTGTTTTGGCGAGCAAGCTGGTCTAGGACAGGCTCACCCAGCAAGAGATAGAGCTGCGTAGAGTTGTAAGCCTCCTTCTTTGTTTCAGCGCTTTGGTCGAAACAGTGGCTTCGTCGAATTCTGCCCTCCTCGCTCAACACGCTTGGCACACCCAGGTGTGCAGTGCTTCGAGGGAATGCCAGCGAGATCATTTCCCTCAGTGGCGCTGAGGGCGCTGCGAAGGGCGTCGATTCCACCAAAGGCGCGGCGAGCACGGCGACGCGATTCGACCGGCGAGTTACGCGGCCTGTACGCGGGGGCGTCCCCACACACACAAAGATCATTTGTGGCTGTTGAGAGAGCGAGTTCTATCTTGACCACTTGGTATCTCAGATCAACTTCTGCAGCACGGGACCCAGGATCTGAGGGCGCCGTGAAAGCTGCTAAGACCCTCGCGGCGAAGTACCGATGTGTGACTTGGTGCTGGACCTGGACCTCACCTGGCGCGATGTGTTCAGAGCCAGGGAGCGTTGGCTGTGGTGGGTTATGGCACCGGACCTGGAGCCCCGTGGTTGACGAGGGGGGGTGGGTTGGCACACGGCACACGTTGATTCTCTTCATCGTTTCGGGTGGTCAAGCAAGGTCCCCGGGTGACCCACCGTCCATGTCTTCCAGTGCTTGTTGAATCTTGCGTGGTACCATATGTCTTATCTCGCTGCAGCCTGGACTAGATAGCTGCTCTAGTTTGCAGTTTCACCTCTCTGGTGGGGCAACCGTTACATCTCTGACCTTTGTGGCTTTGGTTGACCAGTCGACTGGTGAGGTGGTGGGCATTTCTGGAGCCATGGACTACGTCATCACTCCGGAGGGCAAGCAATTCAGCTGTGAGCACGGCATCCCGCTGCTCGGAGTCTCCTTTCTTTCGCCGCACCTGTCATCCAACGGTCCTGGGGACATCGATTTGGTTCGGGCAAAAGCAGGAGGCCTTTTCTGAAAGCTGGTTCCGTTGTAGGCCTTTGGTATTGTTGGGTGACGCATCTCACTGTGTGTGGTTCTCTGGTGACGCAGTTCTCATTCTCGAGTGCTCCGATGTCAGGTGGTGGGTTTTGGCACCAAAACTGAGTGATCTGAGGATGCTTCAGAAGATCACAGCTGCTGGCTGCCTTGTCACCGTGACGACATTTGATAGTGGCTGTGGGTGCTGAGAAGAAGTCCGACCCATACGAGTGTGTCTTTTAATAGGGAGACCCTCCAAAGACTCCAAAGACCTCTGGGGAGATCAATCACAGACTACATCCATTGGTTGGGATGTCCCCATATTGCAAACCCATATGACAGATTGGGGGTTCTCGCAGGCTCAGGACGTGTTGCTGGCAATCGGTAGGAGAAAGGATGATTACGATTCTTCATGTCTTGACGCGCAGCTCTGAAGCCTCTTTGTTGAGTCACATTAGATGCACCTGTCTTCAGAAATGGTGTCAAGGTTTTGGGGCATCGAGCAACTCGCTGCTTCTTTTGCGGGGATCAAGAAGTGGAACGATGTGTAACGCATGGGATGGGGCTCCCATCATCGCCAACAGAGCCACGTTTTCACTCCTGGTGCACCCCCCCAAGTAGATCGACAAGTACTTCCCCTTTGGTATTGGAAACCGTTTCGACCTCTTTGGAGAGTCCCCCCTTGTTCTTTCACCACCTCGACGTCTCCACTCCGACTTGTCCCGGAATCCCCATGGCGGTGCCTTCCAGAGGTGCTTCGAGGTGCTTCGTGTTCACCACCTCTGGATGGGACGGGGGGATGACGGAAAGCCGCCCAGGGCGGGGGGAAGGCCGACCCCATCGACTCCTCGGCCGACCAGGTCAGCTCCATCATCGCCGCCTTCGTGGCCGCCGGGCGGCCGAGTGGCTTCACCGACGCCGAGGCGGCGCTCTACGCGCGACTCGGTTCAAAGGGGAAAGAGGGCGGGAGCGGTAGAGGGTGGGATGGTCAACCTGGCCGGATGAAACAGGGCAGGTGCTTGGAGTGAGCTGGGATGGAAAGAGCAGTGCCTGGAGGGATTGTGGAGGAGGAGGACTTATATTTCTTTCTATTTTTTTAAATGAAATTTCAGTTTTAGTCAGTTAATTCTCTCACTTCCAAGAAAGGACATCCTGACTGGCACGTGTACCAAGGTCGGGTCACAAAATATACTTGGTGAAGAGATGACCAGGGTATTTTAAGCTGCAGTGGGGAGGCGGCTGGTTTTGGAAACTCTCCCCATCTCATCCTCACTCTCTACTTTGGATTTTGGCTTTGATTTGAGAAATACAACGAACTCGTGGACGCTGTTGGTGCCAGAAAATGTAATTTGGGGATCCAAGGTTCACCTACTTCGGCATCTGCTCGGAGGCGAGCTCCGCGTAACGCGTCGCGTTTCGGAGAGCTTTGCCGTGGAGCTGTGAGCCGTGAGCTTGTCTGAGCTTGTCTTTTGGAGCCCTTGAAGCCAAGTGATTTGGTGATGTGACCTTGGGCCTTTGACAGTCCTCCACATGCCGATGTCGAGACGTCGCCTCAGGCTGCGTCGCAGAACAGTCATGGACCTGGCAGCTTGCGAGCCAACTTGTGGCTTGGCGCTGCATCCCGTCCCAGCGGACCTCCTTCGGCTTATGAAGTCGGGTCGAGCAGTGCGCTTGACACCGAATCCAGGGACCTGAAGGGGGGGGAGATCTACAAGACTGGCGGAGTGTGCTTGGACTGTGGCATTTGGACATCTCAAATGTGTTGGTGGTGTCAAAATCTACAAGGCACCTTCTGAGTCTACACGGACAGATGGCTTGCTTCCTGGGAAAATGGGATATATAATGGTGTCGAAAGAAGCACAGACTAGAATTAGCTGGGACTCTTCCAAATTGTGGTTCGTTGTCTTGTCCATCATGTTTTGGTATGTTTTGCAGAACGTCGGGCTATGCAGAGATCTGTGGTCCTTTTACTCTTTGAGACATTGCAAACGATTTCCACAGCGTCCCACACCTGCAAGCAAAGAGAATTCGATTCATTCCGGGGAATCAGCAGGGCGTGTTACCACAGAACTTGCATGGTTGCAGTGAGACACTATACATGGCCTCTGAGAAATCCAAGTTTTTGCTCTCCCAACGTCGGTGGAAGAGACGATACGCTTAAGATGCTTGTAAAAAACTGTGCATATCATTTTCTTTAATAATAAATGGCCCACCGTTAATTATTTCCATTCTTTGGACCCGGTTTTCATTAAAATGTAATTCCAAGGATTTTGCAAACATGCCCCGTGCACAGTTTGGTGCTGCTCAATGCCCCGAGACGAGGCTCGACCAGCTCCACAGTTTTGATCTGGATCAACTGAGCAGCGATGACTAGTCGCGTCACTTGGGGGCGCGCCATTTTGAGCGTCACTCGATCCTGCCTGACCTGAAAAACCACCGACATATTTCAGAAGAAAACCCACGTTTCCACCCATCTTTCCACCGGTGACCTGAAGAACTACCCCACCCAAGCGTAGCAAAACACCGCCCAAGCGTAGCAAAACCGCTGCCCAGTACGCCACCCGGTGAATGTCTAATCCGAAAAGGGCTGGCGGGTTCGGCTGGGCACTAAAGCAGCTGGTTTGGCGATGTCTTCCCGACCCTCCGCAGGACCCTTCTACCGATCCGGGTGGGTCACCGGCCTGTTAGTGCCTCTAGTGAAGGATAGTGAAGGTATTGGTGCATATTGGCACAGTTTGTATTTCTGAAATTGCGGAGGGTTTAGTCCTCAGTCGACGTTCTGAGTTGTCAGCCAACCTTAAGTGCTGGCACACATCCTTTGGGCAGAAACGCCGCAGGCAGGGGCCAAGCAGCTGAGAGATGCTGCCATGAGGGGTGATGTGATTTCTTGCTTATCCTGAAGAGAATAGAGTAGTTTAAAGATATATAAAGGTGTTCTATTTTGTTCACTCACTCTAGGACTCTAGGATGACACCTCTTGCATGCGGCACTCCATGTTCACACAGACCTCCGTTTCCTTTGTGCAGCGGAAAAGACCGGAGGGGACTTCTGCACCACGGGAACACAGCCGTGGGCTACCCATGTGAACAGCTGGACTCCTGCACCCGCCAAAAACACAGTGTTGCATCGCGATAGATGTGAAAGCCAACATGCAGCAATCTACAACCATCAATTGCAAAGTTTGTGGTTTGTGCAAATACAAGAGCTGTCCATACAAGAATTTTGAGGTCCAAAAGACCCAAAGGTGCCTGTCACAGTGCCAAACGGGAGCATGGCAGGTTCCAGTTCTCGCTTCACTTCGAACCTCGAAGTGAACATGGTGGTCTTTGCCAGACAGGCCAGGAAGACGAAGAGAAGTGGTAAAAAGACAACGTTGAGGCGGCGCTGAAAGAAGGAACTGTCAAACCATACAAAAAGAACAGATTTACTGTAGTTAAGCTTTTTTGTTCAAACCATTAGTGAGGCCAAGCCATTTGTCTGAGTGCAAAGAGCAACAAAGCTTCACCAGGTGCCATCACCCGAAGCCGCAGACACAGCGGCTGCACGTCGCCTTGACGTGGATGAAGCACCTCATGCACCCCACTATCCGGTTAAGAACCGAGATGGTTCATGGAAGCAAACCCCGCAAACCCATTGGTCGTGCGTGACAAACCAACCCTTTTTTTGCCTGGTTGGTTTGGCCTTATGTTTTCGGCTTCAGCCACTGCAGCACCTAGTTGTACCTTTTGCTCCATGATTTTCTCGCCTTGTCTTTAGTCAGCCCTAATCTTTGCGTTCTCATTCCGCACCCCTCTGCTCCCTTGTCCCTCCCTCACACATAATACAACTACCTCGTCTCCCCAAAGCGAGTGCACTTTTTTGCGGCATTCTTCAAGGCGTGCTGGTCGCTTCCGCTCGTGATGCGGAGGGCAGGTGCGAGCCGTTTTGTCCAGAGGTGGACTCCACGAAGAACAGAACGGACTGGTGACTGGTGACCCACTGATGACAGTTCGGAAGATGGCCACTGGTGCGAATTCCAGGCCTTCTAGATCCTGACATGTCAGACAAAGTGAGCCTTCTGATAAAACCATGTAAAGGCATGAGATCTAAACGCAACTCAACGATCCAGTTTAGCATCTGTTGAGGCCGTTGCCATTGACCTGTCGGTGGCGGAGGCGGATTGGCTTGGTGCCCAAGTGGAGGGAAAGTCCATCTTCAGAACCCAGTCCTTTCATCCTTTTTTGTAACAAAGGGCATCGCTACGAACGAAGCGATCGGACGCTGCGAACGTAGCTCCTGGCATCGCTGCGTTCGTCACTTGCATTGCTACTAGCCAGCAAAGGACGCTTGACCAAGTAGCGTCCTTCCGACGGTGCCGGCACGGCCTGACCGATCCGTTCGGCCCGAGGCTCGCACACGGTGGAAATCCCGGGCATCACCTCGTCCATGTCGCCCGGCGGAGCCGAATGCGAGCTGAGCTGATTTCGGCGAGCGGATCAAGACCCCAAAGGCGACCGAAGGCAGAAAGGTGGCTGCCTTCTTTGTGAAGGTCTTCGTGACCTGATTGGTGACCTGATTGGTTTATTTCAGGTTGTTGACATGATTCCTCCAGTTTTGGCGGGGCACTAGCTCAAAGGCAGACTGCTGCATTGGGATTTGGAGTGTTTGGTTTCGCCAACGGTGGCTCTCCGAAATGCCAGAGGTTGTGGGCCTTTGAGTCGTGGAGAATTGGTGGCCCACCAAAGCTTCACACCACAAGGCACTTTAGCAGGTGTTTCAGGGTCCACACCACTTTACTATCGGTGTGAGTGATGAAGGAGTTGGTGTCTTGATACCGCTCGCCGCCCGAGGTATCATGCCTCGGCAGATGATGTGGGCTCACATCTTAGATTTGCTGCATTGGAGAGGTCAATCGTTCAATCGGAGGCTAAGCGATTGCTGCAAGAGACCCTTTAAGACTTTAAGGCAATGAAGGTTCGAGGACTGGTTTCCTCATTCTCTGGTGCGTCAGGATAGAAGGGCAACGGACTGTCTTCTCTAGTGAGCTACTCTTCAATCGCTTGAATCTCTCAGATGCTTGCAGTGGTGTCAGCATATTGACCCTCCCAGGCCAAGTCGGGCACTGAGGCATGCAGATCATTTGCCTCGCCGAGCCAGAGGGTCATCGACAGCTGGGGGTGGTGGGGGAGCCTGACTGGGTGGACTGTCGACTGCATCTGCGAAGTACCACTTGTTGCGGGTCAAACTCAAGATCCTCTGAGGAGCAATCTCCAGGATGTACCCCCAAAATCCTCGAATCCTTCCACACTCTTCCATCCCAAAAGCTTTCCTTCTCCCAACCTTCCACCCCCCCCCTATCGTCTCCTCCGTCCTCTCACCGCGGTCGACCCCAGGCGCAGGCGGTGATTGGACCCTTCGAGCTGGATCCGATCACACGGATGAGCCTGGAGAACATCGTGTCCTCCGGCGCCTCGCGCTTTCCGGTGCGGCACTTCCGTGACCAGAACGACCCCCATCCGTGGCTTGGGCGGAGAGTGTCAGTCAGTGTGGACTGGGGGAGAGAGTGTTGGTGGGTTGAAGGAGTTCATGGGATATAGAGTTCTGGGTGGGACTGGGGAAATCCTGGACTTGAGACGGGGATGACCGATGATGAAACTCATGCACCCTATAGGAGTGCAGTCCCTTGCGGTGCCGAGATGCATCGTTCGGATCGGCCCTTCTGGACGCTCCGACACGATCGAAGCGAAGCGACGCGCGCGAGTCCTGAGGCGTGACTTGCAGATCCATGTCACGCAGGACGACCGCACCACACGGGGAGACTGCACCGAAGGGCCGTAAGACTCGAGTCTTCTCGATGCCAAAGGGGTTTCGGAGTTGGTGGATTTAGGTCTCCCACCATTCCATCCAGCATTGCATGAGAAAAACGCATTGTCACACGGTGTTTATACTGTGCCCAACGGTTCTTGAATTGGAACTCTCAAAGGCAACCATGATGCAAGAGATGCTTTAACATATTTTCGACACTTTCAGCATCAGCAATCAACAAAACACGTTCAATCAACCTCTGTGAGTTTTTTGGCGGATCTTTTAAGAGCAAAGAAGGCACCCCCCCAGAAGTGCTTGCTTAGCAATGCTATAACGCTGGCGTGTGGGGTTTCCCTGTGTCAAAGAATCATGACCTCAGAACCGTCAGTGAGTGAGTGAGCGAGCGAGCGAGGGAGGGAGGGAGGGAGGGAGAGAGAGAGAGAGAGAGGGAGTGCGCTCGCTTGGAGCAGGAGCACGTGAAGGTGGTGCATCCTGGGGCTGGCCGAGGTAGTGGTGAGGCTGGGCGACGGAGAGACTATGGTCAAAGTTCCATTTGACTCCCACTCCCGGTGTGAACAGTGAGGGGTTGTTTTCGAACCTCTGAAGTGTAGCTTAAGAAGGTGTTTTAGAACGTCAACTTTGGGGTGAGGATCACAGTTCAACGCACGGAAGAAGCCGAGAAACTCCGCTGACCCGACAAGAACTCCGCTGATCGCCGGCGCCTCGAATCCGTGATGAGACGTGGACCCCATCGGCAGGTGATGGCGCCCTACAGTGTGGACTATCCCAAGGTGATAATCCACCCAACAGACACCTGCAAGTTCCGACTGGAGCTTTGTGATGAGCAGGAGGGGATTGAAGGGAGATGGATTTATGGCCAAGGGTGGAGGTGATGGCATAAAGGGCTTGCAGGTTTAGCTGATCGTCCAGATCAGTGCAGTTCAATGTAGGACTGCGACATGAGACATATGGCTGTTTTCGTCATGGCACCTCTCCCGCCAGTCCCCATGGTAGCTTGGACATCCCAACCAAAACAGCCAGCGGAATCTGTTCATTTGACCCCTAGGGGTCGCGTGGACTCCGGGTGCCATGATCCACTGCCATGCTGGAGATGCCCTGGTTCCATGGTGGTTCATTCCACCACGCCTTCGGTGGACAGACCGGAGAGCCATTCCCCCTCCGACTGGACGCGACGGCGTTGTCCCGGAGGACAAGATCTTTCACTTCGTGGCGTTGTCCAGGAGACGGTGATGAACTGAAGCGAAACCAACGGTGCAGATATCAAACTGCCAGTGGAGACCCGTAGCTTTCGTTGGCTTCACTTCGGAATGGAAGAGAAGGATTGGGGGTGCGACTCCTGGGTTTGCATCTCTGCTCGCCTTCCTACCACTTCTCGACCTCCCTCTTCCCCAAGTGGACCCACCAGCGGACCGCCTCTCTTCGGATCCTCAGGACCATGCGGGATCTCATCACACTGCTGGTGCGCACGTTTCATGTGCTGAGCTGAGCGGCCGTTTGCTGCGCACCGGCCATTCTGGAAGAGAGAACCGCTGCAGGTGGCCAACAGATACCTTTGGGACAGTTTTGGCATTTGAAAGGCAACCCATGTGTAAAACACACACACATATATACACACATATATATATATATATATGCACGGTAGCCCGGAGGTGTCAAGCTCGAAGGTACTGGATCCCGTGGACACCGAGGAGGAATGGCGTAAGTGCGACTCGTCAGGCGGTTTTCCGTCTGCTGGATATCTTGTACCAAAAGAACTTCGGTCGCGGCGCGACTCGATCACTACACTAGCTATCGTGGGATGATCGTCCAAGTGAACACTTGCATGCCACCCTCTTTCCAAATGTCCCTTCTTTCAACAAGCAACAACAAAACACAAGCAACCGACCACGACAAACCAAAAAACCGCAAATCAAACCTCTTCGTCGTCCTTGTGGACATGTGGTGTATGTTGTGGAGGTTGGGTATGGAGAGCTGGTTGTTCTGGTGAGTCTGTCGAGACTCCTGGTTGATCCTCCAAAGGCCCTTGGCCCTTCTCCTTCCTTTTCTTTGCTGAGGACATTGTCGGATCTTCAACTATCTTCCAGGCACTGCCGAGCTGGTAGAACAAAAGAAGTTGCCTTAGTTCTTTCGCCTTAGTCAGTCCGTTTGCCAGCTGTGCCTCAGAGTGGACCCACCGGACCTTCACCTTATTTAGTGACTGTCCTTCTTTGATCCTCATAAGAGTGACATCAGTTCTTCTTTCAGCGCCCTTAGCCACTATCACTTCGTTCTTCAACTTGTCGTAAACATTGCGGCTGTCAGTAACAAGGCAACCGTCTATCTTATTGACAGTGGTGTTGGGGTCACGTATGTTCACTTCGTTTCCCATCATTTCAGAAATCTGGAACCTACAGAAATACAACAAATCTTCAGCGTTGGCTGCTGCAATTGCTTCTGAAGAACCTGGACTAGAGCATACCCGTCCGATTTTCGACGAGTTCCAAGCTACAATGGAGACAGGAGTGCATTCTCCCTTTAGGAGAGAGCGAGATGTGGCTCCAATCACAATGCCTTGGGTGCTACCGCCGTCATAGCGGTTGATTGCTGCTGCGTCTGCCCAGGCCACGATCACCAAGTCTTCCAACGGAATTGGATGAATCTTGAGACGGTGGTCTTTCATGCTCTTGACATGGTCCAAAAGGCGGTTTGCCGTAAACAAGGTCTCCACCGTGCTATGGTTCACCTCTGAAAGAAGCAGGCTAACTTCTGCCGCAAAATGCGGTGCAACTTGTTGTGCGTGCCAGCTAATTCCTCCCAGGAGTGCTCGAAGGTGTGTCTTTTCAATCTCCTCTGTGGGTGAGTGCTTTTCTCTCTTTCGAGAGGCTCGGATATTGATGTATTTCAAGTCTTCCACATATTGTCTTTGGGACAAAGAGTAGGTACCATCATGTTCATGTTCTATTAGCACTCCGCATTGCACGAAGCTTTTCTGTTCCCAGTCCGACCATTTGTACTCCTTCTGGATGGCAGCCTCGACATGTTGCCAAACGGGATCATCTGCTTTTCCTGAGAACAGAAAGTCATCTACGTGGCCTGTGATGATGCCACGCAAGTACCCATCTTTGGTGAGTGTCCAACAACATGGATCGCTCCACGACTTTTTCAGACCCAGAGAGGCGAAGAATGAGCTGATCGACCTATACCATTCCAAGGGCGCATCTACTAATCCGTAACATGCCTTCTTGACCTTGGTGATACTTTTTGGTGGCAAATTCATAGCCTCCAGGATTTCTGGACATGGGATGCAGAGCAGGTCATCGGGGTACTCTCGAGACTGTAGGAAAGCTCCCGTGACATCTCCTTTCTTTGTGTCAAAGCCCATGGAAGCGCTGATCTGTAGCTGCAGCTGTCTGGACTGTCGCGTTGTTGTCGGAGAATGCGTGGCCCTTTCCTCATAGTGAGGATCTTGGTAGCCCTGTAGAACTGCTCGAGCCTTTGCTTTCCTCGAGCCGTCAGGTTTTGTCTTCCATACCAGGATCCAACGCATGTTGATGGCCTGGTCACGAGAAATCTGAGCATCTGGTGGCAAGGCTTCAAAGGCCTTAGCTGCCAAGAAGTTGTTGACCTCTATGGACTTGGCTGCCTGGAACTGAAGGCGCTCTTCAGGAGTGAGAAACCGCTCTGAAATCTCTATGGCCTTCCTCTTCAGGGCGGTCACCAAAAAGCTCTTGAGATCTTTAAGGGCGTTGTCCATGCCATGTCGTGAGTTGGGCATCTCAATCTCGATGCTGTACAGAACCTCTTGTTGTTGTTTTGTTGTACTGTCCACAAAGAAGGAACTGTCAACCATTTCTGACCAATGTGGGGCTGCCACGAAGCCTTCACCTGCAGGTTCTGATCTTCCTGATCGTGGACTCCGGCTCCTGGCCGGCTCCGTAGGAGTGTATTCCTCGGCTCCCGTGGGGTGACCTGAGTAAGGTCTCGGAGGAGGAGTTCTTGAGCGAGGCCTATGTCTCTTTTCACTCAGACGGTGAGTGGGTTGCCACTCATGGTCTGGATTTCCTGCGCGAAGCCACTCGTCCTCTTCAGGTTGTTCTGACAGGTCATCATATTCTGTTCCACCCAGTTCTTCTGCCACTCGGGGAAAATCCCAACGTGGTAATTGCCTTGTCTCATGAAGTTCCAGAAGTACTGTTTCACGACCTGTTGCATGTCGGAGTTGTTCTGGGCAACACTTCAGGAGTCGTCGGCCTCTAACCAGCCAGATTGAACTACCTGGAATCAAGTGTCCTGCTGAATCTCGCTTGTTTTCTGTTGCTAGGATCCTCGCCGGTCCCACAAAGCGACCTTGGCCAATCTTGTTTTGCTGGGCATCTTCCCCCGTCAGTTGCTTTCTCCAAATGTAAACAAGGTCACCTGCTGAAAAATCCAACACTCTTCGATGCTTGGACTGTGCGGCCCTGGACAAACGGTCATGGTCTTGCCAGTCCAGAAATGCCTTTTCTGCCACTAATCGTCGACGATGATCTTGTTCCATCTGTTGTTTAGGAGGGAGAAATCCAGTCCAGCTGTGGTGATGAGAGGGTGGTGAAAAACCTCCCTTCCTCATCAGGCGCTTGGCCCAAAACAATTTGTATTGGTGAGAACCCCCTGACTTGCTCCCGGTGGTTGAGAACCCTCATGGTTTCTGAGAGGGCGTCTTGTGCTGAGACCTCCGGATCGTCCGCAACCAAGCACTCCAAAATGTGCTTGGTGGACTGTATGGCTCTTTCGCACACGCTCAACTTCCAATGAGCTTCTGAGGGGATGAGGTCCAGGTAAATATGGCTTCGGTCACAAAACTCGGCAAGTTCTTTGCTTCGGAAGGATCCGTCAGGATCCAGTCTGAGAGAGTGAGGGTAGCCAAAGTATTCTACCCAGGATTCACGAAACACGGAAATGAATTGGGCAGCTGAGAGGTGTTGCTTCTTGCCTTGAGCCACCAGCCGTGCCACTTTGAATCGTGATCCTTCATCCACAAAAACAATGAACTG